TAACCCTAAATGTTAATGGCTTAAACTCACCAATTAAGAGACACAGGCTAGTAGAATGAATCAAAAAAAAAAAAGATCCAACAATATGCTGCCTACAGGAGACGCATTTGATAGGAAAAGACATACATAGGCTGAAGGTGAAAGGTTGGGAAAAATCATATTACTCATATGGACTTCGGAAACAAGCAGGAGTGTCCATACTCATATCAAATACAATAAATTTCAAGCCAAAGTTAATCAAAAGGGATAAAGAGGGACACTACATACTGCTCAAGGGAACCATACACCAGTAAGACATAACAACCATAAATATATATGCCCCAAACAACGGTGCAGCTATGTTCATCAAACAAACTCTTCTCAAGTTCAAGAGTCTAATAGACCACCAAACAATAATTATGGGAGACTTCAACACACCTCTCTCATCACTGAACAGATCTTCCAAACAAAAGTTGAATAAAGAAACTATAGAACTCAATAATACAATTAATAACCTAGACTTAATTGACATATATAGAATGTACCACCCAACATCAAGCAGTTACACTTTTTTCTCAGCAGCACATGGATCCTTCTCAAAAATAGATCATATATTATGTCACAGGGCAACTCTTAGACAATATAAAGGAGTAGAGATAATACCATGCATCTTATCTAATCATAATGGAATGAAACTGGAAATCAATGATAAAAGAAGGAAGGAAAAATCATGCATCCCTTGGAGAATGAACAATAGGTTACTGAATGATCAATGGGTTATACAAGACAGCAAGGAGGAAATTAAAAAAATTCTTAGAGATAATTGAAAACACAGACACAACTTATTGGAATCTATGGGACACAATGAAAGCAGTTCTAAGAGGAAAATTCATTGCTTGGAGTTCATTCCTTAAAAAAAGAAAAAACCAACAAATAAATGATCTCACACTTCATCTCAAAATCCTAGAAAAAGAAGAGCAAAACAACAGCAAAAGAAGTAGAAGGCAAGAAATAATTAAAATCAGAGCTGAAATCAATGAAATCGAAACAAAAGAAACAATTGAAAAAATTGACAAAACTAAAAGTTGGTTCTTTGAAAAAATAAATAAGATCGACAGACCCTTAGGCATGCTAACGAAGAGAAGAAGAGAGAGAACTCAAATTACTAGCATATGGGATGAAAAAGGCAATATCACAACAGACACTTCAGAAATACAGAAGATAATTAGAAATTATTTTGAATCCTTATATTCCAATAAAATAGAAGGTAGTGAAGGCATCGATAAATTTCTTAAGTCATATGATCTGCCCAGATTGAGTCAGGAGGATATAGACAACCTAAACAGACCAATATCAATTGAGGAAATAGAAGAAGCCATAAAAAGACTACCAACTAAGAAAAGCCGAGGACCGGATGGGTATACAGCAGAGTTTTACAAAACCTTTAAAGAAGAACTAATACCAATACTTTTCAAGCTATTTCAGGAAACAGAAAAAGAGGGAAAACTTCCAAATTCATTCTACAAGGCCAACATCACCTTGATTCCTAAACCAGACAAAGACACTTCAAAGAAAGAAAACTACAGACCAATATCTCTAATGAACCTAGATGCAAAAATCCTCAATAAAATTCTGCGAATCGGATACAAAAGCATATCAAAAAAATTGTGCACCATGATCAAGTAGGATTCATCCCTGGGATGCAAGGCTGGTTCAATACACGGAAATCAATAAATGTTATTCACCACATCAATAGACTTAAAGATAAGAACCATATGATCATCTCGATAGATGCGGAAAAAGCATTCGACAAAGTACAGCATCCCTTTATGTTCAAAACTCTAGAAAAACTAGGGATAACAGGAACATACCTCAATATTGTAAAAGCTATCTATGCTAAGCCTCAGGCTAGCATCATTCTGAATGGAGAAAAATTGAAGGCATTCCCTCTAAAATCTGGAACAAGACAGGGATGCCCTCTCTCACCACTTCTGTTCAACATAGTTCTCGAAACACTGGCCAGAGCAATTAGATGAAAGAAATGAAAGGCATAAAAATAGGAAAAGAAGAACTTAAACTATCACTATTTGCAGGTGACATGACTCTATACCTAGCAGACCCAAAAGGGTCTACAAAGAAACTATTAGAGCTAATAAATGAATTCAGCAAAGTGGCAGGATATAAAATCAACACGCATAAATCAAAGGCATTCCTGTATATCAGCGACAAATCTTCTGAAATGGAAATGAGGACAACCACTCCATTCACAATATCCTCAAAAAAAATAAAATACTTGGGAATCAACCTAACAAAAGAGGTGAAAGAATTATACAATGAAAACTACAGAACCCTAAAGAGAGAAATAGAAGAAGATCTTAGAAGATGGAAAAATATACCCTGTTCATGGATAGGCAGAACTAACATCATCAAAATGGCGATATTACCCAAAGTTCTCTATAGGTTTAATGCAATGGCAATCAAAATCCCAATGGCATTTCTTGTAGAAATAGATAAAGCAATCATGAAATTCATATGGAAAAATAAAAGACCCAGAATAGCAAAAACAACTCTAAGCAGGAAGTGTGAATCAGGCGGTATAGCGATACCAGACTTCAAACTATACTACAGAGCAATAGTATCAAAAACAGCATGGTACTGGTACCAAAACAGGCGGGTGGACCAATGGTACAGAATAGAGGACACAGAGACCAATCCACAAAGTTACAACTATCTTATATTTGATAAAGGGGCTAAAAGCATGCAATGGAGGAAGGATAGCATCTTCAACAAATGGTGCTGGGAAAACTGGAAATCCATATGCAACAAAATGAAACTGAATCCCTTTCTCTCGCCATGCACAAAAGTTAACTCAAAATGGATCAAGGAGCTTGATATCAAATCAGAGACACTGCGTCTGATAGAAGAAAAAGTTGGCTTCGATCTATATACTGTGGGGTCAGGCTCCAAATTCCTCAACAGGACACCCATAGCACAAGAGTTAATAACTAGAATCAACAAATGGGACTTACTCAAACTAAAAAGTTTTTTCTCAGCAAGAGAAACAATAAGAGAGGTAAATAGGGAGTCTACATCCTGGGAACAAATTTTTACTCCTCACACTTCAGATAGAGCCCTAATATCTAGAGTATACAAAGAACTCAAAAAATTAAACAATAAGAAAACAAATAACCCAATCAACAAATGGGCCAAGGACCTGAACAGAAAATTCTCAGAGGAGGACATACAATCAATCAACAAGTACATGAAAAAATGCTCACCATCTCTAGCAGTCAGAGAAATGCAAATCAAAACCACCCTAAGATACCATCTCACTCCAGTAAGATTGGCAGCCATTATGAAGTCAAACAACAACAAGTGCTGGCGAGGATGTGGGGAAAAGGGTACACTTGTACATTGCTGGTGGGACTGCAAATTGGTGCGGCCAATTTGGAAAGCAGTATGGAGATTCCTAGGAAATCTGGGAATGGAACCACCATTTGACCCAGCTATTCCCCTTCTCGGTCTATTCCCTAAAGACCTAAAAAGAGCATACTACAGGGACACTGCTACATCGATGTTCATAGCAGCACAATTCACAATAGGTAGACTGTGGAACTAACATAGATGTCCTTCAATAGATGAATGGATAAAAAAAAATATGGCATTTATACACAATGGAGTATTACTCTGCATTAAAAAATGACAAAATCTTGGAATTTGCAGGGAAATGGATGGCATTAGAGCAGATTATGCTAAGTGAAGCTAGCCAATCCTTAAAAAACAAATGCCAAATATCTTCTTTGATATAAGGAGAGCAACTAAGAACAGAGTAGGGAGGAAGAGCATGAGAAGAAGATTAACATTAAACAGGGACTAGAGGTGGGAGGGAAAGGGAGAGAGAAGGGAAATTGCATGGAAATGGAAGGAGACCCTCATGGTTATACAAAATTACATACAAGAGGAAGTGAGGGGAAAGGGAAAAAAAACAAGGGGGAGAAATGAATTACAGTAGATGGGTTAGAGAGAGAAGATGGGAGGGGAGGGGAGGGGGGATAGTAGAGGATAGGAAAGGTAGCAGAATACAACAGACACTAGTATGGCAATATGTAAAACAGTGGATGTGTAACCAATGTGATTCTGCAATCTGTATACGGGGTAAAAATGGGAGTTCATAACCCACTTGAATCAAAGTGTGAAAAATATGATATGCCAAGAACTATGTAATGTTTAGAACAACCAACAATAAAAATTTAAAAAAAAGAAAGTTTTTCAAGGAAATCTGCAATGAGGCTTTCTATTCCCTCTCAATACTTTTTGCTGATTTTTATTATATTGCTCACATGTAACTATGTTTATAGTGCTTTGTAAATAAAAGACTCAATAGAATCTAATTTGCAGATGAAAATTCAAAATATCATGAATGGTCCACCGGATATTGGTCCCATTTTGACATACTTTCTCCACTGATAGGGAACTCACTTCCTCCTGGGAGTCCATTCACTATTCAATCTATCAGAATATTCCTCTTTTTGGGCTGGGGATGTAGCTCAGTTGGTAGAGTGCTGCCCTTGCATGCACAAGGCCCTGGTTCAATCCTCAGCACTACACACACATAAAAAGAATGTTCCTCTTTTCACTAAGTTTTGGGCTGTTTTCCATCTTTACACTAATCTGTCCTGATTTCTTCCACAAAACCAAAGATCAAGGCAGGTCCCTCTTCCAGTACAACCTCTTCATATCCACAGAGAGCTCTAATGACCAGGTTCTTTAGAAGAGTCTGAGAAATTTGAAGCCGTTGTCCACACTATGTGCTGAGGTGATGAAGCACTGAAGGAGCTCAACTTTCAAAAGATAAATATTTTTTCATCAAACTATATTTAAATAAAGAATAAATATGCTTTATGGGAAAGAATCACCTTGTTCATATAAAGTAAATTTCTCTAGCCAAGGAATGTTGTTTTTGTTCATGATTAGTGTAGTATACTGGGGTACCATAAATTCAGGGATGTAATCGTCCTTACATGTTCATACAGTTTCTTCTTAAAGGCTTTCCTTTGTGCTGCCCGTTCACACATGATTTGCAAAGCACGTTCTGCTAAACCTATTGTTCTCATACAATGGTGGATTCTGCCAGGTCCAAGGCGGCCTTGGGAAATTTCGAATCCCCGCCCTTCACCTACAAGTGAAAAAGGAAAACATGAAAATGTTCCTTTTGTTATTCACAGAAATTCTAGAAAAATGATGAGCTTCCCTCAATAAAAATTACCTCTGGTGAGGAAAAATAAAAAGGAATGTTCATTATGCATTTAAGGGAATTTTGAGATCTGTTTTTTTTAAACCAACATCATTAAAGATTTCAATCAAACTTAAGCTGTGTCTTTTGAGCACTTACTATACATAAGGTAGTTTATTAGTGCTGCAGTAGTTACAAAGGTGGATTAGACAATTCCCTACCCTAGGGATTTAGAATCCAGAAGAACAGGAGAAGATAAGGGCTACAGAGAGGGCCAAAGAAAGGGAAAGGAGGGCGAGGTTGTTATCATTGTTACCATAGTAACTTTAGAGCCTGGCAAGGGTTTGTTGAGTAGATGGGGTGAGAAATACAAAAATATTCCTGAAAGGAATAACACTTGAGATATTCTTTGAAGGCTGAGTAGGATTCCAATAAGCAAGAGTCTTTCCAGGCATACAGCATACAAAACTGTTTATTCGTCTGTCTTATATATAAGACGTGAATTCAGAAAATACTAAGGTCTTCTTAAAACAAGGAGAGACCCAGAGATCATGTCTTGGGAAAAAGGGTGTTGCTTTACATTGGATATTGAATGATTTTTGTATTTAGCTATGTTTTCAAATCATATGAAATACACAAACACATCTAACATTTAAATAAAACTTTATCATTCTACATAAGTCAAGTCACAAAATGGAAAATTTATCTTTGATAAATGGAGTAAATAAGATAGAAAAGCACCTAAATAAAGGATGACTGGATGTGTTCTACAGATTTAGGTATGAAAATATTAATATACAATACTGGAGAATAATCTTTCCAAACTTATCTCACCTAGTATTAAATTTGTAGCAGGAACTCGCACTTGGTGGAAATGGATCTCAAAATGTCCTCCATGTAAGTTATCTGTAAAATAGAAAATACAAGTTTAAAGAGAAAAATTTTTTAGAAGAAAAAGAGAAAAATGAGTTGACTAAAATAAAATTATACATAATGAATCTGCTGAAGTATGATTACTCAAAAAAAGTAGGGTTTAAAAGATCCATGTGTAATAGACATTCCTAAGTAAAATCATCCCTGAACCCCCAGCACCCAGCAGTTCAGAAAACTCATCATCTCTTCAAGTGAGAAGAGACTTTAGAAATCATTTGATCCAGAGGTTTCTCTGAGCTATGGAAAAAGAAGACTGGGCTCCATGGTGCTGGTAAGACTACATTATTATTATTTTAGTATTGTTTTTTCTTTTAATTTTTCTACATTAGGAATCCTGAAGAAAAGATCTGGTGTTTCAAAAATAGAAAATAAGTAATGTAATTCAAGATTCTATTTTGTCATTGTGGAAACCAATGCCTGAAGATACAAAGGGCCTGCTTGAGAGGACAGAGCAGGCTCAGCATTAGTGATGAAGCAGAGACCTGACCTTCATTTAGGCATGTCACTCCTGATTTGCACTTGTTCCACTATGTGTTTGCTTCTTGAAAAGGCTGGCATTAGAGCCACTGAGATTGGCAACACAATCACTCCTCCTCCCCATCAAATTATAGAAATTATCTCTAGCTAACTCCACACCCTTTTCTTGTCAGAATAGATATTAAAAATCAACATTCTGTACACTGTTTCTTTTGGCCTTGGACACAGGGAATTGGAAAGATGCTAGTGAATATTTCACAGTAAAAATTCAAAAGCAGGCTCTGCAGTCGACTGCCTTTGTACCCAACCTGTATTTAAAATTCATTTTTGGTGTCTTCATGCTGTTGCTCTGCAACCCAAATGTGCAATTTGCTCCAGTGATCTTGTGTGCCCCATCTTGTCCCTAGACTTCACTTGTGGGTACATCCTATAGCTGCATCTACAGAAGGCTCTGATGTCAAACTTCTGTAAAACCAAGCCTTGTGTCTGCTATTCAAACATATTCGTCAGTCATCTTCAATAACAGAAAGTTAGACTCACCATAAAGCCTGAATTTCAACCAATTTTGCATGGCATTTATCCCCTGCTAACATGCTATATAACATATTTACTTATGTTTGTCATTATCGCCTGCTTCCTTCCACCAGTGTGCACGCTCCAGGGGGCAAGGATCTTAGTCTCTCGTGTTCCTTTGTGTATTATAAGCACTTCGAACTGTACTCAGCACTCAATAAGCACTTGCTCAGTGGATGACCTGAGCAGCATGGACACAATGAACATATGCTCAGGATGGGTGGCAGGAAACAAAAGCAGTCTTGCTTCTTAGAAGTTTGTCCCATGAGCAGAAGGCAAAGCTTTGCACTCAAAGTCAACACTCAACTCACTGCTTATTGACAGTTGTAGTAGGTTGATTGACTAAGAAAAGTAAACTTGGAAGCAAAAAAAAATTAATTTTGGTGTAGATTATCTCAATTTATCTGTTTGTCTGAATCTACTTCATTAATCCATTCTCATGAATGACAGAGAAAAGACTGGTGGTTTAGAGTTGCTTTTCCTTGAACACATTCTGCATTTTCCGAAGCAGTAAATGAAATGTGGCCAAATGCTGCACTGCCTCACCTGCTGCACCTGAGTTCCACATTGCCAGGGCCAAAGGCATTTCCAAGAATACCTGTCATATGTTAAGATGCTCTCTATTTTTGCCAGCGTCACTGCAGATTCAGGTCTGCATTAGCAAGCAGGGACATATGTACTGAGTACTTACCCGAGTACCCAAAAACTGACAAAGGCCTTATTATTTTTATTCCAGGTGTGTTGATAGGAACAAGAATCATGCTGTGCTGTTTGTGCCTAGTCAAAAGAAAAATAATGTTAGGAAAAGCTTGCTAAGAGGAGAAATGAAATAGACATTAGGCAGAGTTGAAACTGTCTTGTTATCACAATCACATAAGCAAGCAATAGTGATTGGAATGGGAACTGTGTAAAAGACACACCAGCACAGTCTGTTGCAGGCTATGATCTGGAACAACAACTACAAAAAAAGATTCGAAAATAGTGAAATTTGTTTGATTGAGGGTTGTTATGATTTGGATCTTAAATGTTCCTCAAAATTCATGTATTAAAGGCTTGATCTCCAGATGATGGAGTTATGGGAGCTGATTGAAAATTTCAGAAAGGGGCCTAGTTGGAGGAAGTAGGTCATGGGGGTGTGCCCTTCAAAGATATATTGGGATTCTGGATGTTCCTCTCTTTCTCTTCTTTCTGCCTACCATGAGATGAATGGTTTTGCTCTACCATGCATACTTACCACCATGATGTTCTGCCTCACTGCAGCCCAAAGTGTTGAGCCAATGACCTTGGACTGAAACCTTTGAAACTATGAGCTAATATAAACCTTTCCTCCTTTAAGTTGATTTATCTGAGATATTTTGTTACAGCCATAGAAATCTAATTAATATACAGTTTTATGTTGTTGTTCAACAATTGTAACTGGGAAACTGATATGAAAAATTAAACATTTCAAGACTACAGCCTTTGATTACGACATCTGATCACTTCAATAATACAGACAGTTCTGAAAAATTCTATCTCTAATCATCTGATCCTAACAGCTTTCATGACTAAGTAACACTCTTGAATACCAGAAATTCCACAGTGAAGAATGTACAACAACACTCCCCAAAATATTTTTCAAATATGTCTTTTGGCAAAGTACTTGTGAAATACAAACAATGAAATTTAATCTCATAATATATTTTATATTATTATGATTTGTAAGTCCAGTGTTATATTTTAAGTAAAATAAATGAATAGCAAGATTGACTTTTATTCCTATACATATTTTTCATTCAGTATTATTTTATTACCTGGACTGTGAAGTAGCTTTACTTCTTCCCAAAAGAATTAAAATTTTACACCTGGGATTCCCAGCTCCTAAAACCAGGGAGGAAATGATCAGAACTCTTTATAAAAGAAAATTTCTTATTTGGCGTTTTATCCTAAAGGTTCTAATACTCCTAAAGTTTATTTCTGGCAAAAACAAAAGGGAGAAAATCTTTTATTCATTAAAATAATAATGCTTTACACAACCCTGTTTGTCACCCAAGAGAAACAACTGAGCAAGTACTAGACTGGACTCCATCAATGAATGCTGCTGCACTAAACTAACTGAGAGTCAAAAAAGCAAGCAACAGCTGCCACCCTTGAGGCAGCCCTCCTATTCCCACCACTTCAGACACAAGCATGCTACAAAGGTGTGAAATGTCATGCCTGATATAACTGTATGTCATATATAATACAAATTTTATATCTAACATAATATTTTATATGTTCATATATAAGAGACTCTGATCCAACCTTCAGAAAGCCTGGGTTCTCATTTATTAATTTGTTAAGGGTCAAAATTTGGCAATGTAAAATTATTCCTATTTTAATACTTAATATTATTTTATCACATATTTCAGGGGGTTTGAGAATTCCCCACTGGTCTTGCAAAAAGCATATTTCATGTTTACCAGTAAATCTAAGCACCTGGTTCCTCAGGGAAACTACTGAACTGGCCTTCCAGCTACCATGCCACACACACACACACACACACACACACAAAAGAAAAAAAAAACTGGATCCAGACTAAGTTAAACATGTCTATACAAAGTCTCAAACAAATTATCAGATTCTATTTTCTAATTTTTTATAAAAAGAGGTTTTGACATATTTGAAATCATATAAAGATATGGTGAGAAATGGAATTATGTCAAACAATTGAATAATACCGTATAATTTCAGGAGAGATGCAAGGGTGGCTTATAGATTAATAGACTTAAAGGCACTATCAACCAACTGCAATTTTTAGACTTTACAGGGATCCCAACTGGATCAAATAAAATAAAAAAGTATTAATGGCACTCATGAAACAATAAAAATTTGAACACTTATTGGATGTAATAGTATCAAGAAATTTAGGTTAGTAATAATATTGTTATATCATAAAGGAGCTCTTATTGAGATATGTACTAAAATATTCGTGAAAGAAATGATGTGATATGTGGGATTTATTTCAAAATAATATGGGGAGAGGAAGAAATGGGAGCAGGAATAAAGAAAGATTGGCCATGAGTTGAAAATTATTGAATCTCAAAACTGTTCAGAGAATTCCTAGGGAACTTCAATGTGCAGTAGGGACAGGAAGGAGAAACACGGGTGGTATACTGAAATGTCTGGAAATGACTCACATACCAGCAGGAGCAGTAAGGAAGGTGGCACCCAGAGGAAAATGCTGCTTTGCCCCTGAAGATCCAGAAGAGGTTGGGAGGAGGACAGAGTGCAGCAAAACAGTACTAGGAGAAAGATAACGAGGCGAGAAACAGACACCAAGGCAAGCAGAGGGAAAGAAAGAGTATAAACTGAAGAGTATAGTTAGAGTGAAGCCCACTGCAGACTTTAGCATTTACAATAGACATTTGAAACTTCCTGCAATTTAGTCTCTGGATCTGTGGAAGACACAGATGAATCCAATTCACAACAATTGCTCATACAGAGTTTTCAGTCCAAGGGATGCTAAATAAACAGAGAAAATTACACAATGGAAGCAATGTAAAATTCCCTGAAGTTCAGAATGGTAACTGAGCTGATGGCTTTCTGAAACAAAAAGAGATTTAAGAGAGTAGAAACATGTGTTTGCCTCCCACTGTTCCCAAGATCCCATTGAAAGAAAAATACAAAAGTACAATGAAGACATAACTGACAGAAAAGGAAGAGGAGTCTGTAAAAGCACATGATTGGGGGTGTTGGTGGCTGATGGATAAAGGATTTATTTCAGTCAATGTCTGAGAAATAGGTGGAGGCAAGTGGAAAAATGAAATTTGCAGAGAAGTTAATGTCTAGAAAATAATAATAAGAGGCTGAATATAGAGAATGTTCTTTCTGGCCTCAGGGTCAGAAAGTGTGACTCAGAAGTGAGGCTACAAAAGAGTAATAATGAGAGATTCTTAAGAGAGAAACATAGCAGCTGGTGCTTTCATAGGCAGGTATCTGACACTTAGACTGATGGGGAGAAGTATAAATCATGTTACAAGGAAGCTGAATGGAATGACTCTGATCCTGGGTGTTGAGCCCCAAAGCTGGCTTCCCGTCAGTTAGCCCTGATGGAATCATGGCCCTACGCAGCAGTTCTTACAGAATTCTTACTCAGGAAAGATGCAGGGCTGGAAAAGAGTTCTCTGTTCATAACAAATTAAACTTTAACCAATTACTTTTCCATTCCTTCTAAGTATTAATGGAAAACCAAGGATCTGTTGTATATGTAGAGAACCTGTAGCATTCAAGAAAATGACTGGCCAAAATAAGCTGGAAAACTGACCACAAAGGAATGAAATAAAACAAGAAACAGAGAGAACCTAAGGAGCAAACACAAAACAACAAAACTGAGCTAAACCAAACACAAAACTTCTGGTTAAAGTAACATGAGAGAGCCAAATGTTTTACAGCCATAAAACCAGAAAAACATGCTTCCTGAGAAGAATAACACAAAAATGTTTAAAGATTAGCATATTATTGCTAAACATAAAGTTTCATAGAAGCATTAAAAAAATAAATCAAGAAAAATTTCCATAAGTAGAAGAAAAAGCAAGAGACTGAAAATAAGAGAAAAAAGAGATAGCCAAAACATGAAGTACAGCATCAGGGTAAAAATGATGAATGAGAAAGCAAAAACTTTAAAGAGAAAGAACTTTCTGGGAGAAAAATTTCTAAAATTGAAAAAAATGAAGAGTTTTCAAATGGAAAAAGCCATTGATGAACAAGAAATAATCTATCAGATATGTGCTAAGGACATTTCAAAACATAAATGATAAACTAAAAGGTTTCAAAGAGACTAAAACAAGTCACTTGGTATCAGACTTTTCATTAGCCACAAAGGATGCTAGATGAAAGTGAATAATTCAATTTAGAATTCTATACCTATCCAAACTATCAATTTTGATGAAGGCAGAATAAAAACACATTTACTCATGCAAGAGCTGAGAATTATTTTTCCTAGAGTTAAGAACTAACTCAGGCAAAATGAGGGAGTAAATCAAGAAGAAAAAAAAAAGAAGCCCTAATACCCTAACAGTCCAGTAAAGTAATTCATGAAAACCCCAGGATTACTGCCCTAAACTATGTCTAAAGAACAGTCAGTCCAGGATGGAAAAGACTAACATCTACAAAAGAGAGCTTCCAGAAAAGAAAGTTCAAAGAATTAGTGTGGTTGAAATATAAAATGAACTGTAAATGTGAGGAATTTAAGTAATACACAAAATATAAGAAAAGCTAATTTAATTGTCCTTAATGCTAGAATCACTCCCTAGACTGGCCAGGTAATTTATAATATATCAGTTATGGAAAGACACAAAACTCTAACACAATACTTGCATAGCCTTATAAGTTAAGCATTATGTATTGGTTTTTAAAGTTTAGAGTCATCCTGTGGTCAACCATGATTTGTTACAAGACAGAATATAAATATTAGTCATCTTAACACTGTAAAAGTAGAAGCTGTAGCTGATATACAAAAAGGAAGGAAGGGATAAAATGTAGAGAAAGGGGTAAAAGAATCATATCCTTATATTACAAAGTGGAGCATGAAGAGATTCTGTCAAATGAGAATGCAGAAAGAGATTTAAAGATTAAAATCTAAAAACAATTTAAATCCTAATAAATATCTACATTAGTAAAAGGAAGACAGTTACAATACAAATGATCTAAAATTGTCACTATTCAAATTGAAGTGCCAATTATAATGTTTAAAATGAATATATTAGGAGTGAGAAAAGAGCATTTTACCTAGAATTATAGTGGAAATGAGAAAACTAATATTAATGTTCTCCAGGGCATAATACAGGTATGTGGAAGCACAGGAAATAGCATGCTCTTAGTCTCATTTGTTACCATTTCTAATTGGATAATAATAATTCTTTAAATATATTAAAGAAAAAAACTAGCGTACTATTTTGCAAATTAATCAGCAGATCCCAATTAGGAGAAGGAGAGGCTTGCTGAGTGAACTACAATGTTTTCTTTTCCTAATTTTCTTTTAATCCGAACATTTCACGTACTGGTTAAAGAGGAGTAATTTTCTGCAAACAGTGGGGTATTTCCCCACTTCTCTGTGATTAAACACAATTTCAGAAATCCTATGGGCATTTTGTGCTTGATAAAACATTTAAATTGATCTAAAAAAAACCCCACTTAAAATAGATTTCACTTGGGCTGGGGCTGGGGCTCAGTGGCAGTGCACTTGCCTGGCATGTGTGAGGCACTGGGTTTGATTCTCAGCACCACATATAAACAAATACAATAAAGGTTTATCAACAACTAAGAAAGTTTAAAAAAAAAAGAATTTCACTTGGGAAAGGGAGGGAAGGGCAAGAAGGCGGTATGCCTTAAATGGGTGACTCTGCTCACCCCCAGGCTATTGATAGAATAAGGAGACACCTAAACTGATTTTAAGCTTGAATGACAAGATTGCTTTCCTTACAGGCATAGCCATCAGAATTGTATGAACATGAAATCATATGTACATATATGTGATTTTTATCTATTACTAGAAAGGGAGAGGTCTTAATTTACTGAAAAAGGAAATGTAAAAAATAAAATTAGTCAGGCTGGGGTTGTGGCTCAGAGGTAGAGGGCTCGCCTAGCACGTGCAAGGCCCTGGGTTCAATCCTCAACACCACATAAAAATAAATAAAGATATTGTGTCCAACTACAACTAAAAAAATAAATAAACATTAAAAAAATTAGTCAAAATATGTCACACTGTAATCAGATAACAAATGAGCTAGGCAAATTTGTCTTATTTTTTCATAAATACTTGACTTATAGTACAGTTTTGTTCACAGTATACGTGAGAAAGAGGGAAAAAAATTCTACACTTCTGGGCATTTGTGATATAA